GGGAGGCATCATCGATGAACTCCAAGCTCTGCGCCACCAGCCAGGGCCTGCCAGCTTGCAGGTCGATGGCGAAGCGGAAGGGGTCAAGGTGGAGGAAGCCCTTCTTGTTCTCCCGGCGCACACAGCGGCCCCGGCTGGAGCACAGGCTCTGGCTGCACAGATCAGCGCTGGCCGTCACGTTGACGATGTAGTGGCCCAAGGGCCCCTCCACGTAGTCCTTCAGCCTCAGGCACATCTCCTGCAACAGCATGTGGTGTCACAGCCCTGCATGGCCAGGGAATGGGGGGGGTCCCCGCGGGTGGTAGCATGGTGCCACACGCCACACTCACCTTGGAGGTGCTGTAGTTGAGGCTACCCCAGAGAACGATGCCGGCAGCACCCTGAGCCGCGCTTTCCCCGATGGTGTTCATCAGGTCCTCCTGCACCCAAGGGGAGAGGAGAAGTCAGCAGTGCCCAAAGCCCCCATGCTGCCCCAGCAGAGCTAAAGACTACCCAGCACCAACCCATCAGCCCGAGAGGTGCCCACTGTCCCCATGTCCCCATCACCTGGGAGAGGAAGTCAACAGTGCGGTCGAAGGCAATCTGGGAGTAGGGCAGGACGGGGATGCTGCCATTGAGGGTGTTGCGCTGGACGGCAAAGGCCTCGGCGATGCGGTGCCGGACATAGGTGAGTGCCTTGTTGGTGCCATTGAGGCAGGGGGGCAGGTAGATGCTGGGGTAGAGCGCCCGGCTGCTCTCCCAGAGCCACCACAGCTCCTTGTTCCTCTGCCGCTCCACCACTGGGCACGTTCCAGTGTAGGATGGGCTGTTAAAGTCATTGTTGTAGCAGTTGGGGAAGCCGTAGAAACCCCAGTAGCTGTTGGGACGGAGGGTCTTGCCTAGCTGCAGGGTCTTCTCCATGAAGTTGCGGGCGCTATGCTCAAACTCCTGCTTGGCCGTCTTCTTCACCAGCTCGGGGGGCCACTGTGGGTGCTGCTGCCGCACCAGCTCCTCTGACTTCTGCTGGTAGATGTCCATGGAGCCCCAGTTGCGGATCCACAATGGGCGCCACTTCTCCCAGTCAATGACGGCCAGCCCACTGTAGGCAGGGTTGCTCAGGGTGACATGGATGTCCCAGGCAGCCTGGAGGAGGTGGGCCTTCAAGCTGGCATTTTGGGGGAGCCCCCCGTAAACTGGCACCCCCTCAGATGTGTAGTAGGGGAGGAACCCCAGGTCCTTGCTGTAGAAGAGGGTGATGTCCTGTCCCATGAAGGACTGCTGGTCGTTGGCCAACACGTCAAAGACCTCCAGGTTGAGGGTGACATTGTACTTTTCAGCGCAGCGTTCGGTGGGGATGTTCCAGATGGTGACGAAGGGGCGGTTAACAAGGACGGGGCCAGACCCCCCGGTGCAGGCCGAGGGGGGCAGGAGCAGCAGGAGGACCCAGCAGGACCACCCCCATGCCATGGTGCCAGCGGGTGCAGGATGGGTCCTGGAGCTGCTTCGGGAGAGGCAAGACGAGCTGAGACCTGGGCAGACCGCGATGGTTTTATCCCCAGCCCAAACTGGGGCTGGCATTAATCCACACCCCTGTCCCTGAGTGGTGCCAGTTACCAGGGTCACCTCTCCCACCGCCTCACGTGATATTCCCCAAAGTTATCAGCAGCCGGAGCCCAGCACAGTGGCCCGGGAGCGGGGACAGCGGCGTGCCAGCCCCGGTTATTGGCTGGCGGCAGCGGGCCCAGCTGGGGAGGAATGCGCAGAGTCAACATCCAGTGCCTGGCCAGCGATGAGCTGGGCTGGAAAGACAAACAGACACGGGTGGGGTGCGGGGGAGGTCAAGGTCATGGTGACGGACATGGGCTGGGCTGGGCAGGCGCCATGAGACGGCAGGAGGAGGGCACTGCTGGGAGGAAGCTCACAGCATCCGGCAGGGCCTGGCAGGACACAGCCCTGGGAACGGTGGTGGCACAAGAGCTCAGTCTGAGGCCACGCACGCGTGGGGACAGCAACCACGGGAGGGCTGCGCCGGGGACCACGCAGAGC